ATTGATTGCAGTAGAATTGTTGTACTACAATTTTAACCATCCCATGGAGCTAGAATAGTGTTAGTAGTTTAAATCAGCCAATAAAAAAGCCTTTACCATAGAACATAGAAAGTATCAATACTAAAAATCACATAGAAGCAGCAGAAATTACTGGCAGTAAATTCAAAATTAAGCTGCATTATCTGGTTATCAAGACGAGTCTGTAATGGAAGAATGAATGCTATGAGCGTGCAGCTGAGGTAAACGTATTAGTAGTAGTAGTAGTAGTAGTCTTAGTAGTAGTAATAGTAGTAGTAGTAATAGTAGTAGTAGTAGTAGTAGTAGTAGTAGTAGTAGTAGCGGGCATGCCAGAATTCGTTTGAAGAAAAAGTATTGACATTTTGCGTGCGTTAGCGTGGATAATAAGTAGTAATTTAACGGTTAGAGTTGTTGTGGTTGTAGTAAACTTAGTAGTAGTATCAGTAGTAGTAGTAGTGGTAGTAGCAGTAGCATTTGCAGTAGTAGTAGTAGCATTAGAAGTAGCAGTACTAGCATGGACTCGAACGAAAAAAAAAGTTTGATATATTTCCTTTTTAAAGTCTGAATACATTGACCGTAGTAATTTTATAGCAGTATATGTAGTATAAATAGTAGAAGTAGAAGTAGTAGTTGTAGTAGCAGCAAAAGCAGCAATAGCAGCAGCTGTAGTAGCAGTAGTAGTAGCGTGCATGCAAGAATTCGTTTGAAAAAAAAGTATTAATATTTTTTGTGCCTTACCATAAATACTCTTGTGGTAGTATCTTTGAAGTAATAGCAGTATTATTAAAAGTCTTAAAAGTAGTAATAGAAGCAATAGAAGCAGTAGAAGTAGTAGCAGTGGCGATAGTAGTAGTAAGTAGTTTGAAGTGCCCGGATGTGGAAAAGAGTTGCGTGCCGAATTAGAAGTTCACATTGGATCATCAAAGAGATGGATAGAATGTGGATGGATGGATGGATGAATGAATGGATGTAGGGATGGATGGATGAAGAAATGGAAGAATGAATGGAGGGGTGGATGAAAAAATGGAAGGATGGAGGGAAGAGTGGATGAAGAAAGAGAGGGATGGATGGAGAAAAAATGGATGGATGGAGAGATGATTAAGTTGATGGATAGACGAAAGATATTAATAGATAGATAGTTTAATAGAAAGATGATTGATCGGATGAACGAACGAACGAACGAATGAAAGAACGAACGAACGAACGAACAAACGAATGAATAAATGAATGAATAATATATATATATAATTATAGATAGAGAGATAGTTAAAAATCAAAAAAATGAATGAATGCAAAAAAGAAATATATATAAATCCCAGACAAACTATTTTGCAGAACAAATAAATTACTAAAATCTAACAAAATAAAACCTTTTTCCATTCTAGTAATTAGCGATACCTATGCGAGATATTTGAAGTGTTTGTGTACACACACACACACACACACACACAAACACACACAAATACACACACATTGTCGTTATTTGTAATCACCATCATCTTCTTCATCATCAACATCATCAACGTCAACATCATTAATACCACCAGC